TAGTGTCACGTGCTCGCCCCGGCACTCGCACCTCAGAGCCATGTGATCGACGAACTCCTTGTTGGTGGACTGCAATCGCGTCGGCTTCTGGCACGGCATGTACACTCCCTTGATGGGGAACTTGGCTCCCAGGCGGCACTGGTCCAGCCGGCAGTGGTGGCCCGGCAGTGCCTTCCACGTCTTGGTGCTCCAGTGCGCTCCTGACCATGGGCCTTCCACATAGGCGTGTCGGCCTCCATTCAGCTGCTTCACGAACGAGTCACGGACCAACTTCAGAAACGTCTTCTCCTCGCGTGCCCTCGCCTCGTGGATCTCCGCGGCGTGCTCTGCTGAGAGCGAGGCGTTCACGTACTGCCACGAGCGCCATACCTTGCACGGGGGTGCGAAGAACATGTCGTCGGGTCTCTCGACGTCGATCTTCCTCAGGAACGCCTTAATCACCTTCGGCTTGGAGATGTCCCAGCCGTCCTCGAGGCGGAACTGCATGACGTCCACCATGGGGTACTCGAGCAGCTCCTGCGACAGACCTCCTGCGTCCACGAATACCTCCCAGACCTTGCGCGGCGGGGGTCCTCGGAGCATCTCCTTCATGCCGTAGTGTGCCTGCTCGAGGGCCAGGGCCAGGTCGGCGTAGGTGTCGGGGTCCATCGTGCTCGGTCTAGCGCTCTCGCTCGAACCCGCAACCGAAAACTCCTGGGCCCACTCACTTCCCACGTCGTCATTGTCACTGATGTCGTAAAACTCGGTGACCGTCTCGAGGTCGGGGTCCACGTCGGACGATTCAGAATCGTCCTCGGACTCGCTCGGCGGTGCCTCGGACTCGTTGTCGGTCGAGTCGTCGCTGCTGGGCTCGCCCTCGGTCGGCGCGCCCTCGTTCATCGCGTCGTCGGTGGCCCTGCCGGCGCCACCCAGCTGGTCGATGATGAAGTGCCCCTTCTCGTCTCGCTCGGACTTCATCCAGCCTTTGTCGGGAAGGTCCTTCATCATAAACGTGCCGGCGCGATAGTCCTGGACCAAGCCCCGCTCCTCCATGCACGGACGGGCGATGAGCAGCGGCGCCCACCCCTCGACGAGGTGGATCGTGATCTGCTTCTTGACGCCGAACGGCCACACGTTCAAGGTCACGGACCGCTTGGCCTCCAGCGACTTGCCGTCTCCGAATCGAAATCGTCGGTCGCTCTTGCCGTACTCGACCTCGTGCAGCAGCTGGCGTGAACGCAGCAGCTCCTCCCACTGCGCCCAGATCTTGTCGCCCATGACTGGTCGCGTCGCGCCGCCGTCGCTGATGCCCTTGCCAGTCGACATCAGGTACACCTCCTCGGTCGAGTTAGCATACTCTAGCGTCTCCACGTCTTCTACCATGGCGGCGTGCTCCGAGTCGGGCTTCACGAAACCTCCTCCACGGAATCGCTGAACCTCGGGCCGCGCTGCTGCGTCGAGCCAGTAGCGGTCGATCCTGCCGGCGTCGCCGACGGGGGCTTGTTGAAGATGTTCACCTTCGGCCTGAACACCTGGCGCGAGCCGGTGCCCTTGCCTTTGCCCATGCCTTTGCTGCGGCCCTTGCCCTTGCCGCCCGTCGGCTTGGCAGAGCGCGACGCGCCCCTGCCGTGCTGAAAATTGTTGTCGGGCGCGACAGCGACGATCGGGTAGAAACCTCTCGACTTGGCGATCTCCGCCACACGCCTCTTCGCATCCACGAAACTGAGGTAGGCCTCGTCGCACGCGATCTGGGCTTCTTCCACGTCCTGCGGCAGCTCCTCGGCGACGTCGGCCTCTTCCTCGTACTCTTCAGCGTCGTACTCCTCGTACTCGTCGTAATCGTATTCTTCCTCCTCCAGGTATGAGTCTTCGTAGCTCAGGCCTCGCTCCCACTCGTAGTCGTTCGTGTAGTGCACGTCGTCCTTATAACCCTGCCCGACCAGCATCTTCTCAACTCGCTTCACGTCGCGCTTGTCGGGTACGGCTTCGGCTCCATATGTATCGAGTAGGGCCTTCTTCACACTAGTCCAACTGAGACCATTGGCACATTGACTTCGTGCCTGGGCGGCGCCCGAAGGTGGGACGGCCGCTCGTGAGAGGAGGTGCCAGCCCGCCAGCATGTCGGGAATCTCCATGCCGACCTCCTTGAGCTTCCTCAGCTCTCGCTTGTGGCGCAAGCAGTAGAGCTTCATCGTCTCCTTATCCTGGCGAGCGAACTTGCCGAAAAACTGATTTGTGCGGGCTGGCAGCTCGGTCTGGTTATCGTACTTGTAGTACTCGTCGAGCACCTGGAACAGCGGCTTGAAGGCGTCCTCGGTCTCCAGCTGATCCAGGTCGATGTCTTCCGTAGCCTCCGCGGCTTCACCCTGCAGCGAGTTCATGATCAAGAACGCGCCCTCGCTGACCGCGGTGGTGCCGCGCTTCCTGCAGCAGCGCTCGAAGACCTCCAGCTTGCGGCGAAAGACTCTGTAGCCGTCGGTCTTGAGCAGCTCGTATGTCGGCGCCGTCTTTGACAGGCCTGCGTCAAGGCCTCTGCCCCCACCGTCCCAGGCGGAACTCGCCCTCTGCCACCAGTCGTTCCAGTCCCCGCCGTCGGCGTAGTGGCCCTCCACGGTGCTGTCGGGAGAGGGCGGGACTCTGGACGTCTCCGCTGTCGGTGCGCTGCCGGCGGCAGCTCCTGCAGCGGCGGCCGCTGCGGCCGCGGCGTCGGGCGCCCTCGCGGGCGGCGGTGACGCCGGAGTGGCCTGCGGCCTCGGCGGACCCCGCGGGCGCGGGTCCGCTGGCATGGCGGCGGCGGTGGGGAGCCGGAGTGGGGATCTCCGGCTCCGCTGCCAATATCAACCGATGGTAGCACACGAAGTCTACTCGGGACTGTTCGAAAAGAATTGATAATCGTGATTATCGGCCGTATGAAACGTAACGCAACCTTTTACCTGACTCAGGGGCCCCTGAACATCAAACGGCGATGGTACATGGCAATCGTATTGCAACGCTGCAAGCAATACTTCACATCTGTGCTAATCTGCATACACACTGATAAGAATAAACACTACACAAATTCGATAGAACAAGGGTGATATCGACACTTCCTTCCCTGTCTTGCCGCTTGCATCCGGAAAGTTCGCCATGCCGTCACCCGGCTTGCCAGAGCGCGCGTGCGGACCGCCTCTGCCGCGCTGCGACGAACAACAACAATGGCACTGGGGCCCCCAAAACGGACGCCGAGGACCGCAACCAAGGAAAAACGCATGCTGAAACAATGTCGTGGGAAGTTTGGGATGGAGACCGTCGAGAACTCCCGCCTGCGGGCAAATTCGAACCGTCGAGGCGAAGGAGGGCGCCGTGGGAACACTCGCATTGTCCTGCTGTCTTCGGATCTGCCGTAGTTTGGCTGATTATCCGACTCGTCTGCCAGGGAAAAGGTGCGAGAAAGCAAAGCAGAAATTCCCGCCTCAGAAAAAGCAGGGCAGATATGTCCGCAAAGGTGTGGCGAAAGCAGCAACGACAAAGTGGAGCGGACATCGAGATCAGATGAGCTTGAGAAGTAGAGCGGAGTTCCCTGCCCTACTTACGACATCGCCCAAAATACGGCGGATACGAAGTCAGGGCTTGGTCTTCCTGGTGGTTTTCAGAGCCTCGCTCGGGCCTCTGGCAGCCGTTCAGGACGATCTGGACACCCCAGGAACGCTGTCGACGAGGCGCAGCCGCTGAGAAGCATCCCGAAGCTGGAAACGGACCGAGAGCCGATGCAAATGTCAGGAGGAAGTGTGCGCCCTACTTGCGACATCGCCACAACGTTTTTGTTCGTCTCCCAGCTCTACTTCGGCCAGTCATGGGCGCCACTGCTCGCAGGACAGCTCACCAGGCTGGACGCTTCGTGTGCACGGCGCGTGAGGTTGCTCACTGGCTGCACGCCAGTGTCGCCGAGTGCATCGTCGTGCGAATGTGTCCGCTCTCCCTCCTCCCCTCCGACATCGCCCAGAACATACCCTGAGATCCGACGTAGCGAACACATGGCAACATCGTAAAAAATCGCGCCCAGAGACCCATACCCTATCTTTCTGCGCTATTCTTCGGGCCAGGTCGATATGTGAGGGTCCTGGGGGCCGAAAAAGGCGAACACGCCCGGCTCGAAAAAATTGAGACGCCAGGGCTCCCAGGGTACGGCGGATCCGAAGTCAGGATGGGACCGCCCCTGCGGGCGGCGGCGGCGGGCAATGCCGCGCTGCGAGGCGTCCCGTATCACGGGTAGGGCAGGCCGCCGATCTACATTCTTCCCCCTCCTCCTCCTCCTCCTCCCCTCCTCTCCTCCTCCTCCTCCTCCTCCTCCTCCTCCTCCTCCTCCTCCTCCTCCTCCTCCTCCTCCTCCTCCTCCTCCCTCCTCCCCTCCTCTTCATCTTCCTCCTCCTCCTCCTCCTCCTCCTCCTCCTCCTCCTCCTCCTCCTCCTCTTCCTCCCCCCCCCTCCTCCTCCCCTCGGCGTAGAACTCACGACCTGTTCAACAGGACGGCGAATTCGTGCGGAGCGCCCCAGAGCGTCCCGGACTGGCGGCACAGGCCGGAGGCTCCACGATAGCAGGTAGGCCAGACCGCCGACCCACCTTAGAGAGCCGAGCAAACACCGCGCTCAGAATAAACACCCCGACAGGCGACCCCGACCGAGACCCGAGAAGGAGGAGGAGGAGGGGGAGGAGGTGGAGGAGGAGGAGGAGGAGGAGGAGGAGGAGGAGAAGGAGGAGGAGGAGGAGGAGGAGGAGGAGGAGCAAGAGGAGGAGGAGGAGGACGAGAAGGAGGAGGGGGAGGAAGAGGAGGAGGAGGAGAAGGAGGGGTGAGGAGGAGAAGGATGGGACCAGTTTATTCATCGCCGAGAGCTCCAGGCGGGGGGGGATCAAACCTAAAGACTTATCAAGGTTAAGCGCACCCAAGGGTGGACTCGACCATGGCAGGGCTGTCTAGCGAACGCCCAGGGCCGTTCACCGAGCGCCAGTTCTGGGGGCGGGCAGTGTGTTCCTCGTTCCTCGGCACCTGTGGGCGGAGTCGAGGCTCCGCGTCAGGGCCTGCGCGTGAGGCATGTCGGACAGCCCGCGCGCCCTCCCAGCGGCACCCTCCAGCGCGGCCTCCCAGGGTGCAACCGTGCCCGCGCTGTCCCCTGCTAGAGGAAGAAACAACGGAGTAAGCATAAACTTTTGGAGCCTTCCCTCCCTGGCGGGCCGAGTGCGTCCAGGGCGGCGCCCGAGGCGCCGCCAGGGGGCCCTGGCGCCGATCCAAGAAATCCGCGCGGAGCTCCGAAAAATTATGCGTATGCCGTTTTGTTGTTCTTCGACCTGCGTTCCACTCGCGGCCCGGATCATAGCACCGTCCGATCTCTTCGTACGCGGTCTTTCTGGTGATGCTGTGCTTCCACGCGCCCTCCTCCAGCGGCAGCTCGCCGGTCCCATTGACAAGGGCTTCTGCACTGAGGTCGACCCCCGTCCTCAAGATCCGTCAACACCGACTCGTCGCGAAGCCGGATCGAACCGAAGCGTGCGTCGGATCGGACTGCATCGGCACGGCATCGAAATGGAACACCGAATCGCCCGCCCCGGGATGCACGACGGCGCCACGCAGGCCTCGGGCCATGGCCCGAGGCCTGCGTGGCGCCGTTCGTCTAAATTCACATTCGTGTCTAAATTTGCTACCAAATGCGTTCAGAAAACATTGTAATTTACATCATATCGTGGCTTAGATTTAGACGCAGGCTTCAAGAATTTAGACTCGCAGAATGTGTAGGACCTCCCGCACGGGAGCGCCGACAATTTAGACACTCTCTCTTGTCTTCCAGGGCACGTCGGATCGTCGGAAAGTCGGAATCGAACCGGGCCAGGCTGGCCGGCATTGACGTCGAGGGGTGTCGGTCGGATCGGGAAGGGCCCCGGTCCTCGCCCCTCCAGCAGCGCAGGCGAGCAAGAGCCCAGCGGCCGCTCTCATGCAGAGGCCCCAGCTCACGCTTGACGCGCAGATGCGCCTAGATGCCACGTTTAGCAAAACGATCGCGATTGGTTTTGACGCCCTTGCACTTGAGCCGACGTGGCAATGGCGGAGGCTTGCCGAATGACGCCGGCCGCATGGGCAGCCCTGACGCTTCGATCTACAAGTGTCGAGTACAACAACCCCCGGGGAACCACTCAACGGGTCCAGCATGGGAGCGGCCCCCACGGGGACGATGTCAAACAGCGGATGCTGTCTGAACCCAGCGGTGCCTGCTGTTGCGCAGGCGGCAGTCGGGTACTAGTATACTTCAGCACCAGGTTCGAAATTGATTCGGACTGATGAACGTCGAATATACACCGGGCCTTCATCCACGGCACAAAATCAGCACGTACTCTCTCCTTCCCAACCGATCCGGGTTTGAGCAGCAATCGTTTCACCTGTTTTTCGGATTTGCCGAACACTAACCAATCATCGGGGCACCCTCTCCCGACCATTGGGCACGCCGGCAAGACATTGTCGGGGCATCAAACGACCACCGTGCACCATCAGGACACCATCGACAGGACACGGGGACACAACCAACATGCCATGGGGACAGCGTCTACAACACGTCGTGGCACCGTCAAGACAACATAAACTTGCGGCAAAACACGAGACGACATCGGAAAAAACACTGAGACACCATCAGCAAGCGTCTGGGGCACCATCAACTACACCGTCGTGACACCGTCAAGAAGACGTCAGGACACCGCTGGGTCACCATCAGCAGACCATCAAGACACCACACGGACGACATCAGAGTGCCATCAATGAGCCTCCGTGGCACAGTGAAAAATCCGTCGGAATCCCGCCGAGACTCCAGCTAGGCATCCAAGCGGGCCCCGCTGACCAGCACGGCGGCGGCGGTCCGCTCATTGTGTGGCAAGCCCCGGGGACGACGGCGCTCGCGTGCATCCTTGCGGCCACGAAGACGAGCACGCGAGGAGGATGACAATGAAGACGATGAGAAGAACGAAGACGGTGAGGACGGGAAGGAGGAGGAGGAGGAGGGGGAGGAGGAGGAGGAGGAATCCGCAGCACGAAACGCGAAACTGTGATTTGCTGGCGGTGGTGGCCTCAAATCCAGACCTCCGAGGCCGTGGCACTTTCATCGTGCGGCCCCCAGACCTCTTGATGCTGATTACCCTGGAGACAAGATGCTTGATTGTTGACGGCTCCAGCCCTCAAAAAGTGCCGAAGATGACAGACAAAACGCGTCGTTGTTTGTAACAGGTTGGAGGTCTGGGCACAGGAGCATCACGCCCCCGTCTCCAACCCCGAAGTCGCACCCTACCTGCCCGCCCCGCCCCGTTGCACGTCCACGCGTCGGCGACTTCGCTGGCCACCGTGGCACTTCCCCCTCGCCGTCTACACTTCGCACGCTTCCACGACGAGATGCAGACCTTTCCGCGCACGCTCAGTTGCGCAGCAGAAGTGTCCGGTTCCACTTGAAACCCGCACCGTAGTAGTCAGACGACTGCCACACGCCGCCGTCTTGGAACGGCGTGGCTCCGAAGATGTGCAGAAAAGGCGGCAGCCCGCTCGAGGGCCCGGCATCGACCGGCCGCACGCCTGCAACGGTGGTCCTGTGTAGAATCCGCGTCCCTCCCGCCGTGCTGTGGGCAGACTGGGACGCGCGGTGCGCCACGGCGAGGTTGTCCAGGATCAGGAGGTCTCCTGGCCTGTATCTGGAAGAAAAAACAACTGCACAATCCTCAGTTGTCGGATGCCTGCGCGGACTTCCTGGACCGGCGCTGCACCCCCCGCCTCCCTGGCGCGCGGAGCGGCGCTGGAGGCGCCGCCAGGGGGGCCCCGGCGCCGATCCGAGAAATCCGCGCCGAGCTCCGACGGTTTGTTTACGCAGCTCTTTCTTCTTCGAGCATCGGTATCTGATGTGGTGCTCGGAGCGACTCAGGAGCTCGTTGTACCTGCCGAGGAGGGAGACCAGCTCCGTCTCGTTCAGGAGCCGCAGCCCGGCCTCTGCCAGCCCCTGCCCAGCTGCTGGATCCATTGCCTCCAGGCTCGACCAATCTCTGCACGCAGCGCTGCCGGCAGGGCGCGACTCGGCAGGCCAGCGGATGACGGCTCCCGTCTGGCCCAGGTGCAGAAACATCACGGGCCTTCTCGACACAGGATGCAGATGGACGAGGGGGTGCACCGCGCCCGAGTACGCGTTCACAGAGGCGAGACTTGCCCACTCCAGTCTCACGTCCTGCGGCAGCGACGCGTAGGCGGCAGACAGATCGGCGATCTCGGTCTCCCCGCCAGCCTGCGGAATGACCTGGGGGTGGAAGAGCACATGGCTGAAGACGCGGCGCTCGAAGCTGCCGTCGCTGTTCGGAGGAGGGCCACATGAGACAACGGCAGCTCTCCCGCCAAGCCGACATCCGCTCAACATCTCCCGGAACCCTCCCGGAGTCCATCCTGACCCGTTCGTCGCGGTGGATGCGGCCGTGGCGACGAGAAGCCCCCATGGAGGCCCAGAAAAAGGACGAGAAACGCCAGGGAGGGGCCCCGTTGTCTCGACTGGCCCTCCTCCGGTCTGTGCCACTGCCCGCCCACGTTCTGGATGCCGTGCTCCTCCCGGTTGGAGAGCCGCAGGACGTCCTCGAGGAGGGGGAGGAGGAGGAGGAGGAGGAGGAGGAGGAGGAGGAAGGAGGAGGAGGAGGAGGAGGAGGAGGAGGAGGAAGGAGGAGGAGGAGGAGGAGGAGGAGGTACGAGGAGGAGGCGCGAAGGAGAGGAGGAGGAGGAGGAGGAGGAGGAGGAGGAGGAGGAGGGGAGGAGGAGGAGGAGGAGGAGCAGAAGAAGGAGGAAGGAGGAGGGAGGAGGAGGAGGGGAGGGGGGAGGGAGGGAGGGAGGGGAAGGGAGGAGGAGGGAGGAGGAGGAGGAGGAGGGAGAAGGAAGGAGGTCCTCGAGGAGGAGGAGGAGGAGGAGGAGGAGGAGGAGGAAGAGGAGGAGGAGGGAGGAGAGGAGGGGGAGGAGGGGGAGGAGGAGAGCGCAGGACGTCCTCGTGGGCCGCCTCGGGGTGCACGGCGTGCCTCCCCAGGACGCGGCAGCCCCCGAAGTAGGAGGAGACGTTCACGAGCTCCTCGCTCGACAGCCCGTGAAGGTCGGCGGCGCGCGCCAAGAGACGGGGGCAGGCTGCAGGGCCAGGCCTCCCTCCTTCCTCCCTCCCTCCCTCCTCCTCATCCTCCTCCTAGTCCCTCTCTTCCTCACCTTCCTCCTCCCTCTCCTCCTCCTCCCTCCTCCTTCTCTTCATCCTCTCCTCCTCCCTCCTCCTCCTCCTCCTTCCTCCTCCTCCTTCTCCTCCTTCCTTCCCCTCGATACGGCCCAAGAGGGCCCAAGAAGGACAACCCGAGCTGACATTTCGAGCTCTTCCCCCAGGCCGCCAAAGGCCCCCCAGGACGCCCCTAGAGGCCCTCAAGAGGCCCCCGAGAGGCCCTCAGAGCCCCCAGGGCGTCTTCAGAAGACGCCCTGGGGAAGCCCCAGAAATGCCAATGATCCGATCTCGGGGGTCACAACGGCGGAGGTCAGAGGGACGGTTTCTGGGTGGCTCCCCCGGGGATCCCAGAGCCCCACACACAACACGCCAAGGACCTCCTCGTTCCTGGAGGCTCCGACAGGCTCCATGCGGGAAAATTCACGACGCCCCCCCCCCCCCTCAGCACTCCTTCTCTACACTCCTCAGCCCATGGTGGTGGCCCCCTCGCGTCGTGAACACAAAAAATGGCGCGTGATCTTGTTGCTGCCGTCGGCCTCTACAGGTGCCCTCGCGGGGCCCTGTGTAGCCGTCGAACAGCGACCCAGGAATGCGTCGAGACGTCTGGGGGTCGACGCTCTGACAGAAATCACCACGCCTGGGGGTCTGGCTCCTCCTCCTCCTCCTCTTCCTCCTCCTCCGCCTCCCTCCCTCCCTCCCTCCCTCCCTCCCTCCTCCTCCTCCTCCTTCCTTCCTCCCTCTCCTTTTCCCTCCTTCCCTCCTATCCCTCCGCTCCTCCTCCTCCTCCCTCCTCCCCCTCCCTCCCTTTCTACCTCTCTCCCCTCCTCTCCTCCTCCTGCTGTTCCTCCTCCTCCTCCTCCTCCTCCTCCTCCTTCTCCTCCTCCTCCTCCTCCTCCTTTTTCCTTCTCCTCGGGGCAAGCTCCAGGAGGTCTGTGACCGGCTTCCCCTGGCGTTGAAGCAGGAAGCCGGGACCTGGACACGTCGAGGACCTTTGAGATACTGCGGTTCGCCCATCGGGAACACGTACGCATCGGGCGCCGCGGTCGTTCAAGGGCGCTCCAAGACGCTGACGAGAGCGTTCCGGACCGCCCATGGAAGATCTATCTGGGGCATGGCCCCACCCCGCCCGACGAGGGCAGGGTGTTTTTCACATAGCGATGCCCCCCTGCAAGCAACAAGGACCCGCGGACACACGTCCCTGGCCCAGGCCGAGTTGCGACACTGACCCGGCGGGCGTCCATCCGCAATATGAAATCACAATGTCCCAGGCCAACCGGGTTCCCCCCTCCTGAGGTTCCCTGGTAAAAAACACAATGCGGTGACATGTTTTGTTCTAACATAGCACTTGTTCACGAATCCCTTCCAAAAACGAAACGAAGTGCACACGCGCGCGTCGTCGCGCGCGTATGCCGAAATCCTTCAAAAACCTTCGGTGCCGGAAGGATTTCGCAATCGAGTCCCACCAGCCCTCTGGGCGTAGGTGGTCTAGAGCAGATCCTCTTCCACCCCTCCCTCTTCCCCCTTGGGGAGGGGTTTACCCCTCCCCCTACCCCCTCCCCTGGACCTGGACGGGGGGGGGCGCGGGTAGTTAGAGCGTCCAAAACGGCCTCGGCGCGCGTATGCCGAAATCCTTGCGTATTCAGAAATCCTTCAAACCTTCGGTGCCGGAGATTTCGCAATCGAGCACCAGCCCTCTGGCGTAGGTGGTCTAGAGCAGAATCTCTTCCACCCCTCCCTCTTCCACCTTGGGGAGGGGTTTACACCTCCCCCTACCCCCTCCCCTGGACCTGGACGGGGGGGGCGCGGGTAGTTAGAGCGTCCAAAACGGCCTCGGCGAGGAAGCCAAAATCATTGATATTACTAGGGTTTTGGCCCCATTTTGGCCTCCTGGGGGGGGGGGCGGTAATTCACCCCCCGAAGCAAAAACCATTGATTTTACTACGGTTTTGGCCCCATTTTGGCCTTCTGAGGGGGCCGCGCTCCTCTTCCTTCATAGCAAAATTATTGATTTTACGAAGGTTTTGGGCTCATTTTGTCCTTCTCAGGGGGCAGCGCTCCTTTGCGCTTCAGAGGAGGTCGCAAGAGGCCCCAAGATGGCCCCAAGAGGCCCCCAGGAGGCTCCCAAGAGGCCTCCAAGAGGCCCCCAAGAGGCCCCCAAGAGGCCCCAAGAGGCCCCCAAGAGGCCCCCAAGAGGCCCCCAAGAGGCCCCAATAGGCCCCAAGAGGCCCCCAAGAGGCCCCCCAAGAGGCCCCCAAGAGGCCCCCAAGAGGCCCCAAGAGGCTCCAAGAGGCCCCCAACAGGCCCCCTGGGGCCGCCAAGAGGCCCCCAAGACGCCCCAAAAGG